CCGATATATATATATATATATATACACATATAATTTATGTTTGTAGGTACTAAAATACATAAATAAATAAATAATTTTTTGTATTTTTTTCGTTTATGACATGATACTGCGTAGTTATATTGCTCCTGACACTGTAATGTCATTTTTTTCGTTCGGTGAAGTATCATACTATTTGAGATTATTTACTCACACAAGAGTGAAACTATAGATTTTCTATCACATGTTTGTTCTCTGAATGTTCAATAATTAAGATATAAGAAATTTGGTGTGACTTTATCACTGATATAACAAGTAATTTTTATACATAGATGTGTATATAAAATTACCTATACATCGCGTATGCATATGTATAAAACGTATGTACCTATACACATGTATACAAAATTTCTTGTTATACCAGTGGTAAAGTCACACCAAACTTTGAATATCTAAATTATCGACAAGCGAAAAATCATTTTTCAATTATATCTTAAGACTTCAATAAATAGCTTTGTGTTTCAACAAATGATACGATATTCAATTAATACAATAAATTTCTTTACAGGAGATATCTACTTTATATTAAATACTTTACAAACTGCAGCTTACTCAAAATCCTCGACTTGGTAAAAAATAAAATCACCTAAAACAAAAGTATCTACGAATCACAGACACGATTTATTTAAATAATTTTTCGATATTAACAATGTTAGTACCAATTTTTGATGAATTTAAAAACTGTAGACTCGCAACAGCTTTTATTTTCCTTGAATCGATAATCCAAGGTTGGGCGCACGCAAAGTTTCCACTCGACTAACTAGAAAGAAAGGAAGACGATTGTCTCGGACTTGAAACAAAAAAGGCACCGAAACCTTCGACTTTGAATGCAAACGAGTCAGACCATAGCATCAGATCCTTCGTATGGTAATCCGCTCCACATCCGGACAACCAGTGGGAAAAACTTTTACTATTGTGCCAAATAATGTATTGAACGAATATCAATCATATGTGTTTCTACCATGTGCTCTGGAAACTCGTTACCATGGGAGGAAGCACTGGTAGAGATAATATCAACACTTGTCTATTCTACCTATATACCGCATATACGTCATTACTTTGTGGATAGTGAACCTGGATGAGTCCGGTTTAAGTGCCTTGTAACTGTATAGTCAAGGAGCCTTGAAAGTGGTAAAAAAAGAGGTACCTAGTAAAAAAAATCTTTTTTTCTCCCTTCCCATTCTATCAAAAAAGTTAAACAAACGTATCAATGAGCCATCCAGGATTTAGCCTCGTCACGCGTCTTATTTTTACCCACATGCTAAAGTTTCTGTTTGTTAGTTATCGCACCAAATAGACAAACTTGGTATTTTTCAAGAATCCACAAGAAGTAAAAAATAGTCATGGCAGAAATTCGATAGTAGATCGTTTCAATAGATAACACTCCTAAGTGGATTCATTTTGTTTGCCGTAATCCCTACTGGAGCTGAAATTTTTTTTCCTGCTACCAAAAATTGATTGCTGTTGTGCAGTGCGTGTATATTATATGTATTCTGTATAGTTGAAATCAAACAAGCATGTTTTTTCTTCGTTTTTTTTTATATTTTCTTTTATTCCCAACACACCATGCATTCAATACACACTACTATAAACATACGTATGTCGTTACAACCTAACATTTAACAAGACACTCAAACTTTCCTTATCTTTTTCTCTTAAGCCACTTGAGATACAGATATAAAAGGGAACTGGTAACTTCGGGTATCCCTGCTTTTGAGCTCATTTTTCCCTTAAAAGCATCCAGCAATTGCAAAGTGCCAGTAATAAAAAAAAGATTAAGTAGAAGAAGAAGTCAAAGTGCAGAAGCACTCGAACAAAATTATCAAGACTGATCCCGATGTACTTTTAGATGAGGTGATTCAATCATTAAAAATAGGGTACAGCTAAATGAAACAAAACTGTCCCCAAAGAGTAGTAAAGAGGAAAATAGGCGTTTATGTAACAAATAACAGAAAAACGAGAGGCACGTACATCCAAGAGATGAAGCTAATGCCACTGTAATGCTATTCAGGGAAGTAATCTATGCAATGTGACTGNTATATATATATAAACTTGGACTCTTTACTCGCGGTGCTGATGAAAGCAAATCACGCGTGGCACTTATAGTACACAACCACGCATAGGCGACACACGAGCCGACACGTCAACAATGAAGATGTAGAGAAACAAGCAGCATGTATCGCTTTTTTTTTTTTTTTTTTTTTTTTCCACTCAAATCCG